GAACAAATAAAAACCCAGCGAAGCGGGAGATTAAAATTCATTTTAAAACATACTTTTATACGAAATATTATCTTTTGTCAATGATTTAATGTATTTAATCGAAATATACGCAGCAATAATCATGTTGCAGAGTGAGAAATAAGTAAACAATTCAAATCGGTGTGCATGATCGCCTGAGCGGCACATAAATTCTCGTGCGCGGCAACAATTTGAGCAGTGCGCGACCGCACAGCCGCGCAGCTTAGAGGGAACATTGATCACAGGTATACTTTACTAACTACACAACTACAGCACTTACATTTTAATATTGCAGCTATGTTATATTTATTAAAATATAATAGGGTTTTCATTATGTTATTTTTTAATCTTTCAGTTGAGGAGGAAGAGCAGATTCAGGAATACGATATTCAGCGCAATTCGAAAAAGCAAGAGCGTTATAAATATAATATCAAAACAAAGAAATGCATTCCTTCCAGTAGAAAATGCAATAAAATTGATGAAAAGATTAAAAGGAAATACTTGAAGTTTATATCTGCATCTCATTCTAAACAAAAATTTACGTGTGATTTATGTAAACAGACTTTTACAAATAAGAAAATATTACAAACACATCTGTTCTGTCATATTAGGATAGAACCATTTCGCTGTACAACCTGCAATAAGACGTACTTGTGGCAATTTCTATTCAAAAAACACATGAAAGAACACAAAACTGGAAATCAAAAAGAAATCTCTCTTGGGAATTTACGTTTGCAGCCATCTAACGATCGAAAGAAGCCATCACTAACAAATACTAAAAAATCTAATATCAAGCGGAAAAACAATTATTGCGACATTTGTGGTAAGCGCGTTCGATATGGTAAGGGCCGTTTAGAGATACACAAGAGAATACACAGAGCTCATGCCTGCAAGACGTGTGGAAAAGAATTCAAATGGAACTATATGTTGCTATGTCATGAACGAACGCATAGCGAAGACCGTCCTTTCAAATGCGATATTTGCAATAAAAGTTTTAAATGGAAAGGTCAAGTGAAAAGGCATCAGGAAACTCATACTGATGGACGTAACTACTTTTGTCAGGAATGTAACAAAAGTTTTAAAACAAAAGATTGTTTGATAGCTCATAAAATTGTTCATAACGATAAATTCAACCATACTTGTCATATATGTAACAAACGTTTTAAACGAAGTGGTCATTTAAAACAGCATATTTATTTACACAGCAATGAATACAAATATTCTTGTGACATATGTAACAAATATTTTAAAACAGAACTCAATTTGGCACTTCATAAACTAGTTCATAATGATGAACGTAACCATACTTGTCACATATGTAACAAAAGTTTTAAACGCAGTGCTGGTTTAAAACTGCATATTCGTACACACACCGATGAATACAAATATTCTTGTAATATATGTAACAAATATTTTAAAACAAAACACTATTTAAGAAAGCATAAAGTAATTCATAGCGATACAAAAAAGTATATCTGTGACATATGTAAAAAAGGTTATAACTTTACAACTGCGTTAGCCAAACATTGTCTTACTAAACATGAAAATATGTATTTATGCAGTATTTGTAAGAAGCTATTCAAAAATAAAAACACGCTAGAAGAACATTTGAAAGTACATATTGAAAAGTGTAATATTTGTAATAAAGAATTTAAAACTAAAACCACCTTAATCAATCACCAGAAAATTCATTTCGACATAAAACCGTTTCGTTGTGAGAAGTGTAATAGAGGTTTTATCACTAAACATCGATTAAAATGTCACGAAGCAACTCATAATGAAGACAATCTTCGTTACGTTTGTGAAGTATGTAACAAGGGATTTTATCATAAAAGTCATTTAGTAGGCCATCAACTCGTTCATCAAAATCATCCGTATTTTTGCAGTCATTGTAAAAGCAGATTTAAAACAGAAAATAAACTTAAATTGCATTTAAAATATTTTTGTTTAGAAATACACCCCAAACAATTAAATTATCAATGTAACATCTGTAAAGAAACTTACGTAAATAGATTTTTTTTGGAGCAGCATCTACTCGCTTACAACGATCAGATACACTTCTCCTGTGACATTTGTAAGAGGAAATTTACGTCAAAAGTCGAATTTCAAACTCATCATAACACTGCTCATCCTCCGGGAGGAATGCATAAATGCAAAATTTGCAGTAAGACATTTCGGACAGGGGCTGATTTAAATAGACATAGGAAAATAAATTCCGATTTAAGCGTTAAAAAATGTAATGTTTGTGGCAAAAAATTCTGTTCAAATTACTTTTTAAATATTCACGCGCGAAATCATCTTTCACAGTAGCGTTTTTCTTGTCAAATGCCGCGAAACAATTAACATATTTTAAAATAATTACTATATTTTAATTGTATTATGATAATAAATGTACTGTAAGATATGAAAAAATGCGGAGTTCCTCTTATTTTTATTATTAATTCATAGTATAACGGGTGTTAAAGATACTTAACAGTATGAACACAGTCTTTAGTATAAAGTGAAATAACGGTATTGTGTATGTTACCTTTGAAAAAAAAAATTAAATCTTTGATTAATGACAAATAATGAATTATTTGTGAAAATTTTTATCAGGTTAAAGAATTTTTGTTAATGTGTTGATTACAATTTTTATAATGTCAGTAATTCAGTAATTTTTAATTTAAATCTAACGTAGTGTTTGTTTTTTTATTGTTTTAATACAGTATTACAATAAATATATTCTTATGATCAAACGTTATTTCTTTATTTCTTATATTTCGAGTTACAAATATCTGTGATTAAGAATAATATAAATGTAAAAGAATAAATTTAACAAAACATTTGTGAGGTCAGGTAGACACAACGCATAAAAATTTCATGGTGAAATCATTAAGATCCATAGTCCCTTATCAACATCATAATTGCTTCGCCATGTTCACTTTTCTATGAGTAACCATCTTTATTACTCTTAGCAATAACTTACGGACAATGGGTACAAAAAATCGCATTCTACAATTAGACATTCAAATCGATGTTGTACTGGTTCCAGATCGCTTACAATAACGTTCTGTTTAACGGTTCTGTAAGACTTATGTGAAAGTAACGTGTGTTGACTATTAATAATAAAATAAATAAGTAAAATGAAATAATTCGTGTAATCCGAAATTTATCAACCACTTAACATGGTTAAGGTGGGCAATCTGAATGCTAGTCTATACTAATAGGCATAAGGCGCTATCCTAATGGCTACTTAATAATCTTGTTACGGTGTTTTACGTTGTTGAAACACTTAACTAATCAATCATTTAAAAAATAGTGTTTTTGTGAAGGTGACTTTATCGTAATCTGAATATAAGTTATGTTTTTTCTAGGGAAATTCTTCTAAGAAGGTCTTTGTTACATCATATTGAACTATACATCGAGAGTGTTGGTGGTGTTAAACAACGGTCTTCTGACTGGTTTGCACGATTTGTTGATTCCTTCAAAGATATCGCGTATCTGAAGTAATATATTGAAACACTGTACAGCGATTCGTACATCTATAAAATGAAAACGCTTTATTTCATTAAAATTTTAAAAATTCTAAAATGTACTATTATGGTTTTATGTACAAATACCTAAATTGGAAATTGTGTCGAAATAATAAAATAGCCTCCACAACTAATTCCAATTTCATTTTCGCGAAATTTTTTCATAAAATTCAACGCCTGTAAACAATTTCTGAGTGTAAAAGATTTGTTGTGTTAATTCTGAAATTCAAAAACAAAATTTTGAATTTCAACTTACCTTTAAATTGAGTTCCAACGGAAGAGGAATCAAATTGAATTTTCGAATTTCTTGAAAAGAATCGTAAGCCTGTTGTTACAGGATAAAGTTAAATTAGTTAATAGTTAGTTACTTTAACAAGATTGGCAAAGCATGAGATAAGGCATTAAAAGATTTTATTTGTATTAAACTGATTAAACGTGATAAAGGAGTGGTGTAACAAGATTACGAAAGGATCAAGGATAGATGGAATGAATATTTTAGGAATTTATTGAATGAACAAAACCCCGGAGCTTGGAATACGAGGATGGAAAAGCAAAATTTGGGGTTGTGCACAAAAGAAGTAAAAAGGATACTAAGAGAAATGATGATGGGGAAAGTAATAGGCACTGTTCAAATTCCGGTTGAGGCTTGGAGAGTTTGAGTAAGGAGGGAATTGATATCCTCTGGGATCATAGGAGGAAACTGGCAGCAGGAGAAGATCCCAGATGAATGGAGAAAAAGTATTCTTGTGCCACTGTTTAATGGAGGATGCACACGAGGTTCGGCACACTGACGTCACTTCTTTTCGCCGCAGAAGTCGATTTTGTGCCGCAAAAGTTGGATGAATTATATCTTTTGCTGTTTCTGCCTGCCAGGACGCGTTTCTATCATCTAATAACGGTTCTCTGGTAGTCATGTCAGAAAATACAATCACGTGATGTTTTAATGGCGGAATGTATAAACAAGTTAAACGAGATAACTGACATTAGAGTAAAGAGGAAATGAAAGAATGTTCCTGATAAATTTGTTAGGCTCGCCAAGAAATGTACGAGAAGGCGGAGACTCAAGTTTAGAGTAGTGTGGGCACTACAGAAGGGTTCTCCGTTAATGTTGGTTTGCATCAGAAAACGGACCTTGGCCCTTATCTGTTTGACCTGATAATGAACGTGTTGGTGTTGAACTCGAAAGTGCAACGTAGAATTCAATGTGGATGAATGAACTAGAAAAAGCTGAGCGGTGTGTTACGTGACAAGAAAGTTAGCTGCAAGCCGAAAGATAAATTGTACAAATCGGTTGTTAGACTTGCAATGTTGTATGGGGCTGAAACATGGTTAATCACAAGAGCCCAAGAAACAATAATGGACGTGGCAGAGATGAGAATGTTGAGATGAATGTGTGGAGTGTCGAGGAAGGATAGAATATAGAACGAGTTTATTTGAGGTTCTGTTAAGGTGGAAGCCCTTGAGCAGGAAGATGAAAGAATGCAGATTGAGATGGTTTCACAACGAAGAGAGTAAGTAGTGAAGATTATGTGGGAAAGAGGGACGAGGAACTGATAGTAAAAGGAAAAGGAAGTGAGAAAGATCAAAGCTGCGTTGGAAAGATAAGGTGGAGGAAGACTTGAATCAGAGCAAAATTAAGAGAAAAGATGCCCCTGGTAGGAAGAAATGGAGGATACGTTTTAAAGAAGGAAACGCAGACACCATATATATAAACGTGGAAAAAGGCGAAGTTAAAAAAAAAAGTAGAAGATTAATTACTTTTACACATAAATTAATATTTTAAAAGTAGTTTTCTTCGAACTTACCGATGTGAAGATACGAGAAACCACAAATGAAACTGATACCGCCAAGTATATGCTGAGAACAGAGCAGAGTACAAGAAGAATTCATACATATGTAGNTTTTCTTCGAACTTACCGATGTGAAGATACGAGAAACCACAAATGAAACTGATACCACCAAGTATATGCTGAGAACAGAGCAGAGTACAAGAAGAATTCATACATATGTAGCTGATGTTGTGAATATTGCGTTATAGAAAGAAAAAGATATGATGTAAGCGACAATCCCGTATATAAGAAAGCAACTATTACCCCAAATATCGTTAATCTGTTCAGTTATTTCGCAGATTTCCAAGTATTTTCGCATTATATCCTTAATTTCATATTCTGCATTTTGTCTTACAGCTAAAGCCAACTGCCTCGATACAGCGTTGAACCGTTCGTACAGTATTGCGCTTATTAACACCATTGCATTAACGATCCACATTAATACCCCAAATTCATAAATCATAACGTATTGAATGCACACAGAACAGACCAGAGCCCGTAACCATGTTGATTCCTGCTGTATTGTCTTAAATAAGTAATAGGAATAAACGACTGAACCGATTATTGTATAAAAGAAAGCCCACCAAGACAGAAAATTCGTTCCTAGCTGCCATTTTTGCATTTTTTCTTTTTCTCCAACATACCCTGAAATATCTAAATTTAGACGTAGTTTATTTTTTTTGCCTGTATGGAGTAATGAAAGAGTGCCAAAGTTTGCCAGATAAACCATGCTCAATAAAAAAGGGCTGTTTAATCCGCTTCCTACTAATTTTTCTGCTGGACTACAAAACATTGGATTATCGTCTGTTGCAAATCTCTGCATTGTTAACGTAGTCAATTGCGTAATAAATAGTAAACGCAGAAATTTTCCGTATATTGAAGACCATTTTTTGTATTTCTTGCAAAGAATTTTTTGTATTTCTCGCCGAAAAGTATGAAGAGGTTTAACGTTGGGCATAGCATACAGTAAACGCAACTATCAGCCATTTAACCTAATAATCTGTGTATGGCACAGTGATGGCGAGTGGTGGCATTAATAGTGTTGCAGCTTGATTGTATGTGGTTAAGATATAGAATCGTGAACATTGATTTCTTTAGAATCCACTTTGGAATTAGTTACGTGCATTTTCTAAATTATTTGTTGCATTCTCTGCTGTTATGTGACATTTATGTTACTATCCATCATATTTATTTTTATTGACTTTATGAGATTATAAAATAATTAAAGTAACTCAATATTTTTAAGCATTTCAGTTTATAACTAGAATCTAGAAACGTTACTAATATTTAAGATATGAAGTTGTAAGACTTATTTTATAAGAAATTAATAAATAAAGATAAATATTCAGTATTTCTGTTTACGTTCTGCATGATATTCGTTTGGAATTTCTATAAAATTTGGTAGTTCAGATATGTGAATAAAATGTGTTGAAGAATGTTGATCAATACTCCAAGTTTCATGTGTATACGCTTGAAAATGCAATGCAGAATATTACTTTAAATCAAAATTCAATGGAATTCGATCATAGATTAGATAACACTTGAAATCATTTCTATACTGCTGCAAATATTCGGCACATCAGTAACTATACTTGATAATTTTGCTGGAAAGATTACAGTGAAACCTGCTAATATGTCCAACTGAATAAGAGACTACCCTTGTAAGATGATCATTTTCAGTGATCACATTAGCAGGTTTTCCTGTATATTGTACTTTACAAATAATAATATTACTTGTAATGGATTTTAATGCATATCGATAGCTATTAATTAATATATAATACATTATAAATGATTGAATCACAAAAAATTGGCAGTTCAATATATTTTTAATGGTTTTACTATTTCAGAAATTGCAGTGACATTATGTTTTTACGTTAGCTATAATTAAATCTTTATTATTTTTTTAATGTATTATTTCTCATTATTTTCTATTTAAATATGCGAATGAATCTATGGCACGTTTTGTAAAATGTCATTTGTAAAATGAATGAAATAATTTAAGAATATTAATATTAAAAATTTTCTTATGTTCTTATGCAATAAAGTAAAAGCTTTTTCCGTGGCATTCTTGTGTTCCTAGGGCGCATGAAAAACATCAGATTAGTGAAGCCTGTTGTATTTTTTTGAGTGTTACTCGTACAAATTTTAACACGTAATTAAACAGAAGCAACAAGCAAATAAAACATTGTTTCTATTCAATTAATAATAGTCTTGTTCCTTGTAGTTGATGGTTCCATTAGTTAATTTATTTCATACCTAATACGTGATATTTTCAATGTACTACAGTATTCCGAATTCTAATCAATTTATATTGATACTATCAGACCCCGCCACGCGTTTTGTGGCTCAAAATGTATCTGTTATAAATTTAAACATTTCCCCCGCGGGGGAAATATCGAAAAATTTCTTCTTAGTGTACATTCTGTTGTCGTACCCTGTTAAAACACAATCAAAAACGCGAAAACCCGGATGTAAAATAGTATAATAGAAGCAGAATTCTTTATCGTAAGCCTTAATCCTAACCATCCCATTTCAGTGGGGTTGAATTTCGACACATATATTATATTAAAACACGTTCGTATTCGAATGCAGCGTTGTGTCAAAATTTCAAAGAAATCGATAGGAACAAACGAACATTACATTTTTGGCCATTTGTTGGACATAAAAGCCTTAACCATAGATGATATTTAATTTATATAAATGTTTAACGGAATAATATACAGCCTATGTCCACCCTGAGGTTCCATTCTAAATATTGGTGAAAGAATTTTTGAAATCGGATGAGTAGTTTCGGAGATTACCTGCTGCAAACAAACTTACATACATACATACATTACCTCTTTATATATTAGTATAGATATAGATAACAAGTTATGAAGTTAAAATGAAAAAAAATGAAATGCCAAACTGATTTATTGCTTATAAAAAATTTGTGCCTATATTCATCTGTAAACAACAAAGTAAATTACGAAATATAGATGCGTATTATATTGTTACAGTTTAAATTGTCGTTTAATTTCTTTATTTTGACAGTTTCTATAATATGCA